ACCAGTGATTAGAAGAGTTGGCACCCAATAAATATTCTCTGAATAAAATAACGAATAAGTTAATGAATAATTGTATCCAAAATAGCCCATGCCGCACCATATTGGGAAATACTGGCCTACTTGTTTGTTGCTCCCAGTAGACTGGAGCCATCCAATGAGCTTCTCAAGAGCACTGAGACCTTTTTTTCTCTATCTCTAGGTTTTAATAAGTAGTAGTGTCTGACACCTAGGTGATGCTCAGTAAATGTTTCTATGAAAACAAAACAAAGTAAAACAAAACTCTTAACCTACCTTAGCTAGTTGAGTAGCTGAATTTCACAAAGAAGTCTAATTTCTTTCATTAGAATCAGTTTCACAGAATGTTTTACTCCCTTCAACATATATTCCAAATATCCAAACCTTGATTTTGCTTACAGCAAAATTTTACCTATACTTTTCTACTTTACAGACTGTAAGATAAACACTTTATTAAAGGCACTTTTTGTTTCTTCCTGATCACCAATACGAACCTGACATTGTAATAAAGTTGGAGGTGGGGTGGTAAGTTATTACTGGCACAAACTTTCCTTACCAACATCTCATGACTCTTTCTTTTGGCAAAGGAATGAAATACAAACATGTTAGGGTTAGATGTGACCTTTCTTGTTTTGTAGTACAATCTGAACTTTTCAATCTTTTGTGCAGAGGAAAATATTGAGGCTTAAAGACACTGAATAACTTGCACAAGACCCTGTGTCAAGTAGCAGAATATACAAGCAGGTGGAGAGGCAGCTATCATATTGGTGGCAACTGTAATAGTCGAAATCTTGGAGAATGTATTACTTGACAAGTAAAATGCAATTCTGGGACTGGAGAAACAGTTCTTGTGTATTTATTGTCTATTTGACTGGCCTGAATCTACTCTCTGACTTAGAGTCCATGTGGACCCATCAAAATTATTTGGAAGGAACCCTCAATATTCTGGAATATTTAAAGATGGTTTGTGCAGGCCCAGTACTTTGTGTTATAGATTCTATGCTGTTCTAGAGTCCTTAGCAATGTCCCATGATAAAATAAATTTATGTTTGGGAATTTGTTTGATATCCTGATTGACTTCTATTATTCCTCACTGGATTTATGATTTATTTGAGATGTAGTTAGTATACCTACATTTAGTGGTTACCTAAGCTGGGAGATAGGCACTTCATTCTTTCTCCTTTTGGTTCTTCCATATCATCATGAATTCAAACTGTAGGGCCCCATCTTCTAGAGTGTGGTTACTGCATTGTGTTTATCATTTAACCACAATTCTTATCTTTTTATAGAAGGTAGCACTTTCTCTTTTGGATATGTATTTAATGACACTTGTGTATACATCACCTGTTACAAACTGCTACTATCCATGGTACTAATAGCTACAAGTCTGTTCTCTAACTGATGGCTTCTATTTGCTTCTTGGAGAAAATGTATGTGCTAAGCAAATGGTTTAGCTGGATTAATCTCTTTCTATATCAGTTGCTTCTTAATAGGTTAATGAAATTGTGATGTGTGTCAAACAGATAGGTTCAACTTTTATCTGACACACTTTCTATATAATACAGCTTTTAATCATTTAACTTTGAAGCTTATAATAAAAGTAGTTATATGCACAGGTATGAAAGAGCAAAAGTGTTTCCAAGAACTTTATCATATGTATCTCTCGGCAATAAAACCTATAGGTAAGATAAAAATTATGCATATTAAGAATTTATTAAAGAATCTGATGAAGATTTTGATCTATAATTTTGCATTACTTGCAACTGAGAGTCAGTGCATTTATTTCTCAGAACCCCAGGATAATCTACTAACATGACTGTATAAACCTATACTGCATCTTTATCTTTGTCAGTATTATCTTTTATGCAATATGATAGTCCTTAGGGAGCATTATTTGCTAGCTATCTCTTAGCCACTTAAGGGTAATCTTGGAACAATTACCGTGTATTTATGGGAATGAGGCATTCATTTATTTATTGCCTTTCTCTTAAAAATCCCATAGCATTTGCAAGAAGATAACAGTATAAATACGCCCACTTGTCTTTGCGGGAATTACTCCTTTCCCCATCTCCACCACCCACCTCAGCATCACCACAACACCCTTATGTGGGGCTCATACTTACAAGTTAAAACTACAATGATCATTGCCACTCAAAAGCATATTGAATCTATCCTTTCTCAATTAGCCTTTCTTTTCTTTTCTTATCTTTTCTCTCGTTCTTTTTCTTTTTCTTAAAATGGAATAAGGACCTTCACCTAGGAATCATACAAATTGGGCTACGTAAGGGTCACTGGTCCCAATTTTACACAAGATTGTTAGAGATGTAAAGCAATCACTGTGTTAGTTGTTTGAATGTCTTTGTGAAATAAACTGAGTATTTCAAACTGGCAGACAAGTGCCATAGATTATCTTATTAAACCTCTTCAGTTGATTTAGAATAATTCCTACTACTTCATAGGGCCAAATTACATATAATATTATATAGATAGATAATAAAACACATAGGGATACATGAATAATTCACAGAATGTGATTTATCAAAGGTAGAAAATAAATATCTGATCTGAATTTATTGTTAGATATTTATTTCCAGATATTTCATGCATAAATACTCATACGAGGACTTCAACAGCATACTTAAATTATTTTAAATGCTTTGCAAAGGTTCATAATCCAACTTTAAAATTATCTTTTTCATTCCAGAGAGATATAAAACAGAAGGAATAACTTGAAATGTTCATGCTAAATTAATGACAAGGAAGCCAGAAAATATAAAAGAAATAATTAATATGTTGTTTCCTCTCTCTCTTTTAGATTAGTATTTTTGCTAGGTATTGTGGCATATCTGGATCTCTCCAAATTTTACATAAGAGGTAGTTCATTCCACTCATTTAAATATTTTCCTTATTTTTAAAAAAGTATTGTGTTATTTTATTCAGATTGTCATTTATTTAATGCTATTTAATTCAGATAAGGCAAAGTGTAAAACTCTGACTTATTCACTGTGATACAGCAAAATAAAAAGCAAAGAAACAAAAAATCCCATGGGTCTGTCAAACAGACAGACCTCAGTTTGAACATCAGTCATACCACTTACTATGGGTTAGAGGTCCTTATGTGGGTTAATTCACCCGTTTGATATTCAATATCCTTCAGTGAATACTGAAGGTTCAGCAGATATGCATAAGAGTTGCCATGAGAATGAAATGGTAAACTATAGTACCAATAACAGCTACCATTTAATGCGGCTTACTATGAGTCACATGCTATGCTAAATGCTTTATACATTTATAAAATTAAACCTTACAGCATTCCTATTGGGTAGGACTTATTTTGGCCCCATTTTACAGTGTGGAAGTAAACAATAGAGATGTTAAATCATCTACCTAAAACTTCACAAGACTTCAGTGGTAGGAGTGGAATTCTAACTGATGTCCATCTGTTTCGTTACCTACTGCTGTGTAATAAACTATCCAAAATGGAGCGGCTTAAAACAACAACCATTTTATTATCTCTCATGATTTTACGGGTTGATTGGACTGAGCTGGGTGGATACTTTGCTCCACAAAATATCATCTGCAGCTGCAGCCATCTGGCAGTAGAAGTAGGGGCTGTAACGTCTGAGATGGTTCTTTACAAAGTTGGCACTCAGTGCTGACTATCTGCTGGGAGCTCTTGTAGAGCTGTTGTTGACTAGAATGCCTCAGTTCTCCTCTTTGCAGTTCTGTGTGTGGCCTCACCATATGTACTGGCTTTGCTCAACATTGGAGACTAAGTTACATGACAGAGTGTTCCAAGAGGATAAGGTCCAGTGTACAAATATGTAAGATGCTTCAACTTGTATCACACTTGTTAATGTCCCACAGGCCAAGGCTAGTCACATGGACAAGTCCACAATCAATGTGGGAGAGAACAACACAAGGGCATGAATACTGGAAGGTTCTACTAAGGTCACTAAAGTAACAGCCCATGGCAACAGCTGAAATCAAAAGCAAACTTTTGTGTCCTCCAAACTATCATGGCTATCAGTAATTTTCTGCTCTCCTTGGATAGCATGTTGGCCAATGCATTGTGAGAAGGACTTTGGAGTTTCAGACACAGAGTCAGTTAAATGTTTTTGGTAAGCTTTTACACTTTCCTTCTTCCAAATATAACATGAAATTTCAATTTCATCTAAATGGTTTTAAAAGAAATTTCAGTTTTACAAAAGAAAAATGCCTCTCAAAGAGATTATTTTTATGAGTTTATAATGCCGTACTATATTGAGTTTTATGTTATAACTCATTAGTGAATAAAATAAGGAGAAATATTAAGTTATGCCTTATCATTATTCAAATAAAAGCGAATATATTGTAATCTATTTCTTAGATGATATGATTAGTTTTGGATTTCTGAGGAACTTTTTTCCCAAAGGAATGGTTTTGATCCCACTATTTCTGTAAAAACTGGATTTTTATTTCAGAAATTGTAATGCTTTTCTTCATTTTATATAAATTGAAATAATACAGCTCTAATGGCATTTATGTAGGTAGGTTCCATAAAGAACTTTTTATTTAAAAGTTTTCTTTAGATAAAGCATTCTATATTTGTATATGACATTTATTTACAAACAGAACTATTTTACCTTAATGACCCCAAATATTTTAACTGTTTCTCCTATTAATATTGAAATTTAGGCAGGTTCAGAAGAAGTGAATTGCTTACAGAAATTAGGAAAAAATATATAACCCTTTACCTTGATTTATTATTTCAAGTTAAATTAGCAAATGATTTACAGGTAATAAAAAAACATTTCAAAGCTGTTTGGTGACCAATGCAAACTCTGATAATGTCATAGACTAATATCAAGACTCCAAGGGACAATATCTGAAGATGATATCTGAACTAAGTTATCCCCTAAATGGCTGTGATATTGCTATTAAGCTTTTTTTTTTTTATTTAAGGAATTGAGACAGATATATAAAAGAAGAATATCAGTACTTACTTTTTGTGACAACACCTTCTAAGCGAATGATATTTGGGTGGTCAAACTGACCCATGATACTTGCTTCTCTTAAAAAATCTCTTCTTTGCCGATCCATGTGGCCACCTTTCAAAGTTTTGATGGCAACTGGGATCTCTCTTTTCCCTGGTGTTTTCAAACGCCCACTACAGACTTCTCCAAATTCACCTTAAAATATGAACAAAAGTAGTTAGTTGTTTAAACAGAATACTTATATTCCAGAAAAATTGAATTGTCACAAAGTACCATCTTTTTGTTTTTTAAGATGATGACTCTCAAGTGTGCCATTTTTACACAGAGATCTCTTCCTTAAAAATTAAACTTGTAATGACAATATGTCTGATCAGCATCATTTGTAATGAATAATGAAATGCATTTTCATATACTGTACCACAGGAACTTCCATTGATAGATATCCCTGATCTGCTGAGAAATTATGACAGGCAGAATGGGTGATGCTAATGCAATTCTACAGAAAAGCAATCACTCCATAACATTTCCTGTTCCTGTTCTCAATACTGATATACGGGCCAAATTCCTGCTCTTTTCAGGGAATCCATCAGGCATATGTAGTTGATTTGATTGCACAGGCATATGTCTGGGCTTCACTGCCATTAGAAATCAATGCTAGGGTCAACTGGTATATGAACATATTGAAAAGACCACACTATAATTATAGTTAATTATAATTAACTATAATTACTTACTATAGTTGAGTTCACACAGGTTAAATTACATGTCACATGGTTTGAATACAAATACAGTAAGACTATCTACAGTTCAGCAATGGCTCCAATGGATAGATTAAAAAACAGCCAAATATTTATCATGAATTTACTACATATATATCCAGTGCTAGAGTGCTGTGGATTTCAAAGAAGTATAAGAGCTGGTCTTTGTTCTTTGTAGCTTATAATCTAGAAGGAGAATTTAGATGAAACATTGAAACACTTAGGAACCTAAGAACCAATCCATGCAAATGTTGTATTATTTAAGTAAGAACAATGGGAGCTGCAAGACTTCCTGGAGGAGGTGGAAACTTTTGCTGGACCTTGAATGATGGTTAGGATTCAGATATTCAAGAAAACTAGCAACATTCCAGACAGGAGTATATGGAGTGAGGGAAGTGAAGACAAAGTTTCAATGGTCAGAAACAGTAAAGAGAATGACACGGACGTAGGGCAGTAAGGAGACAAGGTTGACTAGAGGGGTTATTGAGGGAAGGACGGTCAGAGACTTCTCAGTGCAATGCAGTAAATTCAATAAAGCTTGAGATTTCATATTTAATTTTTCTATGGTCAATTCCCTGCATTTACTTAAAAGCATGATGCTTGATCCCCAATTTATTCATCTATAAGTGAATATAATAATGAAACCTTTTGTAATTCTATAATGTTCCTTCCCCATAAGGATACTGGGAAGATCAAAAGTGATAATGCATATAAAACTGCTTACAAACTGTAAAGTACTATTTATGTGCTTTAAGTTATATAAATCTTTGGAAATGTGAAAGAAATAAAAATTAAAATATCTTCAGTTGGTTTATTAGCTAGCAGTTCTGGCCAGTAGCTCGATGCTATGTAAGTTTAAGTGTAGAGGATCAAATTAAATTTTTGCAGCATCACAGATTATCCATATTTTCTTTGAACCAATTCATTACAGTCAACTAAATGTTGACTATTCATGAATATTAATTATATTTCGGTATAGATGTTAAGATGTTTTTCTAAATGAAAAAAAAACTAGAAAGGAAATAAGCCAAAACTTTGCCTCCTAAATTATGTGTAAACACGTCCATTACAAATAAAAAGCAGGACGAGGGGAAGACGGCGGAAGAGTAAGATGCGGAGATTACCTTCCTCCCCACAGATACACCAGAAATACATCTACACACAGAACAACTCCTACAGAACACCTACTGAACGCTGGCAGAAGACCTCAGACCTCCCAAAAGGCAAGAAACTCCCCACGTACCTGGGTAGGGCAAAAGAAAAAAAGAAAAAACAGAGACAAAAGAATAGGGACAGGACCTGCACCAGTGGGAGGGAGCTGTGAAGGAGGAAAGGTTTCCACACACTAGGAAGGCCCTTCGCGGGCGGAGACTGCGGGTGGCAGAGTGGGGGAGCTTCGAGGCCGCAGAGAGCGCAGCAACAGGGGTGCGGAGGGCAAAGCGGGGAGATTCCCGCACAGAGGATCGCTGCCGACCGGCACTCACCAGCCCGAGAGGCTTGTCTGCTCACCCTCCGGGGTGGGCGGGGGCTGGGAGCTGAGGCTCGGGCTTCCGTCGGGGCACAGGGAGAGGACTGGCGGCGTGAACACAGCCTGAAGGGGTTAGTCCACCACGGCTAGCCGGGAGGGAGTCCAGGAAAAGGTCTGGAGCTGCCGAAGAGGCAAGAGACTTTTTCTTGCCTCTTTGTTTCCTGGTGCACGAGGAGAGGGGATTAAGAGCACCGCTTAAAGGAGCTCCAGAGATGGGTACGAGCCGCGGCTAAAAGCGCGGACCCCACAGACAGGCAGGAGAAGCTAAGGCTGCTGCTGCCGCCACAAAGAAGCCTGTGTGCGAGCACAGGTCACTCTCCTCACCTTCCTTCCGGGTAGCCTGTGCAGCCCGCCACTGCCAGGGTCCCGGGATCCAGGGACAACTTCCCCAGGAGAACGCACGGCGCACCTCAGGCTGGTGCAACGTCACGCCGGCCTCTGCCACCGCAGGCTCGCCCCACACTCCGTGCCCCTCCCTCCCACCGGCCTGAGTGAGCCAGAGCCCCCGAGTCAGCGGCTCCTTTAACCCCGTCCTATATGAGCGAAAACAGACGCCCTCCGGCGACCTACACGCAGAGGCGGGGCCAAATCCAAAACTGAGCCACTGGGAGCTGTGAGAACAAAGAAGAGTAAGGGAACTCTCTCCCAGCAGCCTCAGAAGCAGTGGATTAAAGCTCCACAATCAACTTGATGTACCCTGCATCTGTGGAATACATGAATAGACGACGAATCATCCCAAATTGAGAAGGTGGACTTTGAGAGCAAGATTTATGATTTTTTCCCCTTTTCATCTTTTTGTGAGTGTGTATGTGTATGCTTCTGTATGAGATTTTGTCTGTATAGCTTTGCTTCCACCATTTGTCCTAAGGTTCTATCCGTCCTGTTTTTTAAAAAATTTTTTTCTTAGTTATTTTTTGATTTAATAACTTTATTACATTTTATTTTATTTTACTTTATCTTCTTTCTTTCTTTCTTTTTTCCTTCCTTCCTTCCTCCCACCGTCGCTCCCTCACTCCCTCCCTCCTTTCTTTCTTTCCTTCTTTTCTTCTTTCTTTCTTTGTTCCTTCCTTCCTTCCTTTCTTTCTTTCTTCCTACTTCTACTAATTCTTTCTCTCTACTTTTTCTCCCTTTTATTCTGAGCCGTGTGGATGAAAGGCTCTTGGTGCTGCAGCCAGGAGTCAGTGCTGGGCCTCTGAGGTGGGAGAGACAACTTCAGGACACTGGTCCACAAGAGACCTCCCAGCTCCACATAATATCAAAGGGCGAAAATCTCCCAGAGATCTCCATCTCAATGCCACCACCCAGCTTCACTCAACAACCAGCAAGCTACAGTGCTGGACACCCTATGCCAAACAACTAGCAAAACAGGAATACAAGCCACCTATTAGGAGAGAGGCTGCCTAAAATCATAATAAGTCCACAGACACCCCAAAACACACCACCAGATGTACACCTGCCAACCAGAGAGACAAGATCCAGCCTCATCCACCAGAACACAGGCACTAGTCCCCTCCACCAGGAAGCCTACACAACCCACTGAACCAACCTTAGCCACTGGAGACAGACATCAAAAACAGCAGGAACTACGAACCTGCAGCCTGCAAAAGGGAGACCCCAAACACAGTAAGATAAGCAAAATGAGAAGACAGAAAACCACACAGCAGATAAAGGAGCAAGATAAAAATGCACCAGACCTAACAAATGAAGAGGAAATAGGCAGTCTAGCTGAAAAAGAATTCAGAATAATGATAGTAAGGAGGATCCGAAACCTTGGAAATAGAATGGACAAAATGCAAGAAACAGTTAACAAGGACCTAGAAGAAATAAAGATGAAACAAGCAACGATGAACAACACAATAAATGAAATTAAAAGTACTCTAGATGGGATCAATAGCAGAATAACTGAGGTAGAAGAACGGATAAGTGACCTGGAAGATAAAAGTGGAAATAACTACTGCAGAGCAGAATAAAGAAAAAAGAATGAAAAGAACTGAGGACAGTCTCAGAGACCTCTGGGACAACATTAAACACACCAACATTCAAACTATAGGGGTTCCAGAAGAAGAAGAGAAAAAGAAAGGGACTGAGAAAATATTTGAAGAGATTATAGTTGAAAACTTCCCTAATATGGGAAAGGAAATAGTTAATCAAGTCCAGGAAGCACAGAGAGTCCCATACAGGATAAATCCAAGGAGAAACAAGCCAAGACACATATTAATCAAACTGTCAAAAAATTAAATACAAAGAGAACATATTAAAAGCAGCAAGGGAAAAACAACAAGTAACACACAAGGGAATCACCATAAGGTTAACAGCTGATCTCTCAGCAGAAACCCTACAAGCCAGAAGGGAGTGGCAGGACATACTGAAAGTGATGAAGGAGAAAAACCTGCAACCAAGACTACTCTACCCAGCAAGGATCTCATTCATATTCGATGGAGAAATTAAAACCTTTACAGACAAGCAAAAGCTGAGAGAGTTCAGCACCACCAAACCAGCTTTAAAACAAATGCTAAAGGAACTTCTCTAGACAAGAAACACAAGAGAAGGAAAAGGCCTATAATAATGAACCCAAAACAATTTAGAAAATGGGAATAGGAACATACATATCGATAATTACCTTAAATGTAAATGGACTAAATGCTCCCACCAAAAGACACAGATTGGCTGAATGGATACAAATACAAGACGTATATATTTGCTGTCTACAAGAGACCCACTTCAGACCTAGAGACACATACAGACTGAAAGTAAGGGGATGGAAAAAGATATTCCATGCAAATGGAAACCAAAAGAAAGCTGGAGTAGCAATTCTTATATCAGACAAAATAGACTTTAAAATAAGGACTATTAGAAGAGACAAAGAAGGACACTACATAATGATCAAGGGATCGATCCAAGAAGAAGAT